GTGTAAAAAATTTAGTCGTCCTTTTTTTTTTTTTTTTTTTTTTTTAATGTGTTTACTATCTTTACATAATGTATATATTCCTTGTAATATTAGATGTACATCGAACATATTTGCAATCTCTCACTAAATTTGTCCGTAGAGGAAGATGTGCATATGCATGCATGTGTAACACTCGATGAATAATAAATTATAATTTTATTGCAACTTACGTTTCCGTTTTTAAACTTATTATTGCCCATGGTAAATTTGGCACTTACTGAGGCTATAATATACCTACCGTTATAATTTTTTATTTATACATTTGTTTATTTATACATAATGAAAAATATGTTTCATTTATGTATGTATCTAATTGAAGTTTGAAAAATCTGTTTTGAGAGTAATCGATGGTGCAGGTATTTTCAATTGAGCCTTTGTTGATTCTGATATTTTTGATTGCCTCTGAGCTTGCTGCTGGTGGGTGAGACGCACTGCATTTTCTAATTTGGTTTTCAGTTCGGTGGATTGCGACATCAATGTTTTAAATTCCTATATATATATATATATATATATATATACATTGTTATGATTAAAGTTAATATACATACATACATACATACACGCACAAGCACACGCACGCACGCACACACACACATACATACACACAAAATACAGCTAGACATTGCTCATAATTATATATTAATGAATAGCTTTTATTATACAAAACATTGTATCAAATTCAAATTTACTTTTCGTATAATATTGTAAAGAATTTAAGAAAAGTACGAAATCGTGTGTTCAAAAGCAATGAAAAATATAAGTAATCTAATAAAAGTTTTTTTTTCTCCAATAGTCGCTAAAGATATTTTTAACATATTAATCTGGCTTTCATCCAATGTTTTATTCGATGCAAAATGTATACTACAATTAGAGATAAAATTATACATGCTTTTAAGTAATTAAAAGTATTTATTTATACCTGCGGGTATTTCGGTCCAATTTTATTTAGCCATTGGAAACTATGTTGATGAAGACTAATTTGATATTTTGTACTTTGATGAAACTGTTCGCTCTCTAATAAATAATTTATTAAAATCGGAACCAATAATGTTAGCATCTGAATTCCTATAAATTTAAATATCGCATTATTAACATTAAATAACATAATATTCGAATGAAGGTAAATTTATAAAAAACGCTACATTAAAACTTTTTCTGCCAAAAGTTTTATTCTATGTCCTTAAAAAAAAAAAAATTAATAATAATAAAAAAAAAAATAAAAAATAAAAAATAAAAAATAAAAAATAAAAAATAAAAAAAAAAATTAACCGTTAGATTCATTTGATAAAAGTATTAGCTTCATAATTAATGCCTTCACATTTGGTTTTGTTAATCTAGTTAATAGTTCAGCTATTATCGCGACTGTTGATCCAGAGTTTTTAATAATAAATTAAGTACGACCGGTGATAGAACGTAACTGCTGAAACTCTCGCGGATTGGCTGGAACGGTCGGCAAAATTTTTTGATGAAAGTACAAAAGATCAACGATACACTCGTCCTGAGCTGCTGCATTACTCTTATCGATGCAGCATCGTTGGAAAATGATCCAAAATTATTAATTATCATTGAATACATATTAAACTATTATAATTGAAGGAATGAACGCTTTGACGAAATGGATAGACATTTGAACACAACAATAAACAGTTATACGAACAATTATCAAGTAAAGCTATGACGCTTCATTTATAGCGTTCATTTATCACATTATATGGCTAGATTTTCTATACAATACATAGAATTTGCTCCGTAGTGAAGAAAATGAATTTAGAAATAAATGTGAAATAAATAAGACCCTTATAATTTGTTTTACAAAACCGATAATAGTACGAGCATAACGAATTTGCTTAGATATTATCAACTATTACATATTCTCTACACTGTCGAAGATCATCTAATTGAGAAGTACATGTTTATCGTTACTGACTCATACTGATTAACTATTTTATCGATATCTTTTACAATAAATACAACAATTTTTACAATAAATACACGTGCATATAACAAAAATTTAATATATTATTATTTTAACATTAACAATTTTTTTTTTTTTTTTTTTTTTTATTACCTTGTAATAAATCTCCTGATAGCATGAAACATAATATAAAACATAATGGGCTGTAGCTCATGAAAAAAAATCTTTAAATTCAAATGTAATAAGCATTGGTACTTACGTCGTGCAGGTTCGGCTAATGTTATCAAACTCTCTATTGTCGTAATACATTCTAACGTAAATTGTAAATTTGTATCATTTGGTACTTGCTTGCTCTGATCGCTATATAAAAACTCGACTATTCTAGGTGCGAGTGCATGAATGTAAGGTGTACTGATGCTGCGCTCTGGGTGGAGGAAGATCGTTTTCAAAGTTTGTACGCACTTTAGCCTTATCTGAAAGTAATGGATAGACGGGTGTCAGTGAATAGTAATTATTCGATAAAATATTTCTTACATAAACTCATTGGACAGTATAAATTGTCAATAATTTGAGAGAATCATATTTAACGGATTGCATTGATCGATTATGCTTTAGGAAAAGAACAGAAAAACCAAACGATTATTAAGAATTTCGATTAAAAACAGGCAGATAATATTACACAAGAATATAGTTTAAATATTTGCTGACGAAATATAACAATTAGGAATTGTGATTTTTTTTTTCTCCAGTTTTTGTTCGATACAACACTATAAGTTTTCCAAACATTTAATAATAATTCTTACGAAGGACTTTCAACTATCGAAACAACTGGCTTTATTTACAATTTTTCATCTTTATTTATAATCATAATTATTATTACTTACATAAATATTATCCGATTGAATAGCATGTCGAAAATGATTGATACAAGGAAATTGTAAATTTGGTGCGCTAACCACGTCAGGTAAGGCATGAAGAACAAAAACAGCGATTCCCAACATCATTGATATTTCATCCATTTTGGTTTCATCGTTACCTGAAAAATTATAATATGTATCATACATTTACTTGCAAATTACTGTTATACAAGATTTCATAATTATAAAAAAAAAAAAAAAAAAAAAAAAAAAAAAAAAAAAAAACAACGATTTAATCCTGAAGAATCAAATTTTATTCTACACGTGTCGAGTAAAGCCTTTGAAAAAAATAATGTGTACATGAAATTTTCAGGTATTTTATCATATCGTCTTGATGATCATGAAACTAATAAGGGAAACGAAGAAACTAATAAAAACGAAACAGCCTTTCACTCCTTTTATCCTCTTTCTTTGAACTGGAAATCTCATATTACTCAACAAACAATTACAGGGTGTTTTTTTTTTCTTCCTCCGCGATGGAAACTGTCACTGTTTCACGATAGAGCTATTTTGAAAACTTTAATTTCATCGATACTTTGGTGAATTGTGTCCATCGCACATCACATCACACATCACATCGCACATCATTTATTTACGCCCACATACTACTCACGGCAGTGCTCAGGACTTTTAACTTTTTATATATTTATATTTTTATAATAGGACTATTATCCTCTGGCTGACTATAGTGTTCATTCTAAATCAATTATACAGGCAATAATGTTACAAAATATTTTTCTAATGCTCAATAATATCTCTATCGAGGCTCAAATAGACTGGGCACACTAACAACAGGACTTTCTTCGCTGTGTACTTTGCTGACCAGAGACGTTACGTTTTCCATGTGAGCGGATAGATTTTAATAATAATAATAATAATAATAATAATAATAATAATAATAATAATAATAATAATAATAATAATAATAATAAAAACTTTTAGTATCTTAGGATGCTTTTAATAGGGATAATTCCGAGAGTAAAATAAAGTAAAAAGACATTTTATCATTAGCAATATTCTGATAATGCTTATAGGCAAATTCAAAAGAACAAATTGGACCAAACTTTTGTAAATGCTATTTACAAAAGTCCCTAATTACTTCCTATACTATATCATTAAAGTCATAATATACAATTTACAACTTATAATTTTAATTAACGTAATTTCAACAATTCATATTCATTAAAATTCCAAATTATTACAAAACAATGAATATCTTTAACTTATTCCAGACTATTCCAGAGCAAATTATCGATCAACGTTATGAAAATTCTTAACACAGACTTTTATAATTGTTTAGTTACAAAATTAATTTATTATTGGCTATTCAGCTTCTATTGCATATTGTTATTCCTTTATTAAATATACATGGTTTTAGAGTTAAAACTGCGACTTAATAATTTTCTTTACGACATTAACTACTCGCGTTAATCACTCACATGCGCACGAATATAAGTAAAGAAATAATAATATTTAAAGATTAAAAATTGCTAAAATAATGCAATACCTGTTTTGGCGAGATCGATGATTTTTGCAAGGGCGCTCTGTAAAAGAGTTGTCCATTGATCTTGACTTCGAGGATCTCTCGAATATTTATTGATGGCGAGATTCTTTAAGCAATGCAATGCAGCATGTACTGGAGTTTCACTTCCAGTTTTAATAATATTATTTTCAGCTCGAAGCGCAGTTTCTCGAATTACACCAGTCGTCAAATAAAGAAGAGTTGGTAAAATTGTCACAGAACCTATTTTATCGTTGAAAATTTTTTAATAATTAAAATACTTAAATTAATAAATTATTTTTAAATAAAGTAAAATTTATAAAACGAGAGCTATCTTATAATATTTATATTTAATACGCGAAGACCAATAATGATAATTAAACTATTTACATATTATATTACGCAATAAGATAGTTTTTCTTATGATGATTTTAATATTCGATAGAAGATTAAGAAAATTTACTCAAAATTTCATACTAAAAAGACAAAATTTCTTTTGTATTTTGCTATTGCAATTGTATTTAGTATTATTACCAACCTGCAGGGGAACAAAGGCTTGGAAGAGATTCCATAATTAAAAGTGCAGCGGCAATAAGCTTTCCACTTTCTTCGGATGGTAAATAGCCACGTTGACTTAAAATTGCCGTGGCCCCACCAGGATTTGGATTTAAAGCCGGAATTTGACGGACCAACAAACATAAGCACACTTCTAATATTGCAAAAACTAATGACTTTCCTGGTGTTAAGTCATCCGGATGTTCTCCTTCACCTAATAAATCTAGTTCCGGAAGATCATTCGTCTCGTCGTCATTGGAGGTAAGTTCTGTTAAAAAAAAAAAAAATATATATATATATATATATATATATATATATATATATATATATAATGAAAAACTTATAGATCATCGATGATTGTGTAAAAGAAAAAATAAATAAATTCCTTCCTCATTACCGTTTAATCTTTCCTTTTTTCTTTTAGATAAATCTTCTTGATTTGCTTTCATTATTTGTTTCAAAACTTCCATTACCATAATTTGAATAGAATAACTTTCGTTTGTTAATAATAGCCTAGAGTAAGTAAAAAATTAATAAAAATTTGAAACTAAAACATTTTATTCGTTTCATTTACCTGTGAAGGACATTACAAAGTTCGATAGGCAGAGATCGATTGGCGATTAAAATTTCCCTAGCCCAGACAGAATCAAGCAGAGTGTAGAGAGCGCTAAGACAAGTTTCAATATTTTGCGTACATTCGGATGAGCGAGAACTACACAAAGCCTCCATACAAATACCTATAACAATTTGTCATTATTACGTTTAACTACGACTTCTAAAAGTGAAAATTGAATTTACAATATTCATTACCGAATAATAAGTGGAAACGTTCTTTAATAGAATCAGTCTTAGTTGCATGGTTATTGTTAGTTCCATCGGAGTTTTTCACCTTCAAATCTGCAATGTCATTTAACTCAAAACCCTTTGCATTGAGCCAGAGTGTTGCGGCATATAAAATTGGTGCCCAAGAGTTCAAATAGTAAGGGCGGGCGGATTCCATAGTATCTGTTGTGTAAAAAGCTCCGCCATCGTGTGGCAGTTGACTTGAAAATTCTAAAAACGATAATTAATATAATGCAAGACATCTTATAGACTTTAAAGCAATTTATAATGTGATAGCGAATTAATAATTATATTTAAAATGTTTACTAACGCGCAATAACTATGTGCTTGGAGAGAAGCGTTTCTAAATTGAAAAAAAAAAAAAAAAAAAAAAAAAAAAAATTGTAATTACAACTTTTTACCTGGAGGTAGTGAAAGAAGTGCGTGATCTCGTAAAGCAGCAAGCCAGTGCTGACTTAGGCTTGGAAGTTCCGGCTGTACTAAGCTCAACAAGCTTTCATTCTTAAATTCAAAATCTCCGAAGCTTTCTTCGTCTTCATTATTTTCTCGATTATGGCGATTAGCGCATTCTCTATTATCCAAAGCTGAGCCATCATTTATCATTGCGACAATGTACACCTAAAATGTTTAATTAGTAAACTTGAAAAATTACAATGTCTCGGATAAGCTGAAAAAATTTGTCGTCAATTGTCCTTTTACCTCTTAATCATTCAATTATGTATGTATGATATACATTTATTTACAGTATTTAATTTCATTAAAATTATAATTTTAAATTCGCAAATATTTTTATTTATTATTTTTATTTATTATTATCAAGTTATATGAAATATCTTAATATGAAACAAGAATCAATAAATTTATTATATTTAATATTACTGTCACTGCGCACATGATGAAAACTCATCGAAAATCTTTCAATGCCGTAATGCTTAGATAATAAAAAAGATTGCTCACCAGCAGAATAAATTTTCAATATTCTATGAAACTTAATAATAATTGAAAAAAAGCTCGTAGATTTTTATTCAATGGAGAGAATTTTTTAATTACGTTTTTTGAATTAAATTTACAAGCAAAACTTTAAGAATTCATACGAAGAATTTCAACGATTGTTTAAATTGGAAATTGGCGCACGAGGTTGGAAAATTGTGAGGATCGTCGATTGTCCCTCACAGCATCACATCGAATAATTCTACACGCTAACAAATATATTATTATACAAGTATACTGACAAAAATAAACTTTCTTATGATATAACTTTCATTAAAGAATACACACGAGAAACATTAATCCACACAGTGTTGTATCACAAAAAATTGGTCAATAACTTTTTTTTATCCATATTGTTGTTTATGAAATTTATGTTTATGTTGTCATTTATAAATGAAATGATATTTAAAGAATGTAAAAATGAAAAGCTACGAAGAAAGAGATAAGAACGAACATAAATATCATTATGGATATAAAATTTAAGAATCACGCACCTCTGCCCAAGCTTTCAGTATCGCTACTCTTTCGAGTGTCGAGAGACTTTCGTTGTAGAGTTGAGGTCGCGAGTGCCCTTCTCTTAATTTTTCAAGTGACGAAACTAACAATTGATGTACTCTTCTTAGATCATTAAGATCTCGTGCCACGCCACTACCAATCCAAGCACTACAAGCTTCACAAGCAGCTGCCGTTACATGCGGAGAAGTTTCTGCAGAAAATGCTGGACGTAAAGCAGCTCCAACCTTTCAAATATTACCAAATTTTAATGCTTGAACATAGAACTTAATTAAAAAAAAAAAAAATACTATAAATATAGAAAAATTTTAATAATAAAATCATTCTCTTAATTATATCATTTTTATTACATAAATCTTTTACTAAATTCACCTTGTTTTTAGCAATTATGTATTATAATTTTTAAAATATTTACTTGGGCTTGAAATTGTTCTAATAATAAGTGCCCGGGGAATTCAGGCTCCGGAACTTTTGCAAATTTATCTATAATTTCTTGTAATGTTTTTAATCCTTCTAAACGAAGAGGGTCGCAATCACTCGTTGCTGCCATAAATGCCATGCGAACCAAATCTGATACGTGTAAAACGAGAAAGTCACCTAAAATCATATATAAAAACACATTTATTAATTAGTTTCACTTATTTAATTGAAATTATAGTTGAATATAAGCGTACGAAATAATATAATTCAGTATTTGGAATTCTGAATGAAACATCGATAGCGAAATAAAGTCTTAAGCCATGCAGGCAATAAAATATTTTTATCTACAACTGATGTATAATAATGGTGATATTTTTTTTTTAATAGCCAGTCTCTTTATATATGACAACTTTGTTTTTGAAAATTCAATACTTGTTACGGAATAACTATTAACAATAATCATTGAATTGTAACATAAATTATCACATGCTGTGTTGAAAAAAAAAAAGAAAGAAAGAAATCTTAACAACTGCAAAATGCATAGGTACAAAGTTTTTCTTTAACGGCCCTAATTAAATATACCTTTTCCTTTAGAATTTTGCATTTCCTTGGCTAAGGCTAAATCGAAATGAACTTGTTTGTCATTAGAGCAAACGGTAATAATACGACGAACGCATTGGGCGGCAAAAACTCTAGTTGGCCAACGTGGTGAAACTGTTTGACGTTGTTTACTCGACTCATCTGCGTGAAATTCTGCCTGATCATCGTCACCCTCGGTATCTGCATTTTCATTCTCGGCAGCTGTTTCTTCGATATTTACGTTCGTAACATCCTCCAATGCACTTGATTCTAATAAAATATTAACATTCCAATTAAATATTAACTAATATAATTATGTAATATAATAACTAATATAAATATTAACTAATTAAAATTACAAATTAAATTTAAAAATCATCATACTTGTGCCATCGTATTAATTGGACGTATAGTGATTAAAATAGCATGTAGATAAATCTGACGGTATTTTCATAAATTAAAAAATAATTTATAATTAAAGTATCGTTAATACCTGTTGCAATAGTGAGTACGTCCTTGCACAACGAAAGCCATGGCGACAGATTATTAGCGGCTAAAATTTGTAACATACTTGTCAATGTATCATGAATTTCTTTAATAAGCTGGCTATCGGTTTCTGTATCGAGCATACTGAATAAAACACCAGGAAGCCCAGTTTCCGTTATCATTAAACCTTCGACGATATTTGTATCTCTGCTTTCATTAGCCAATGTCATTGCATGCTCGCAAACTTCTTTCGCTTCACGTTGTGCTAATTGACGAAGACACGATATCGCTGCTTTTCTTAAAAGCAGATGATTGCTCGATAGCGTTCGCTGAAATGAAATAAAATTTCATGAAATTATTCAATAGCCATGAATTTTATTTAACAATTTTTAATTTAACAAAAAACATTTTTCTCTCTCTCTTTTTTTTTTTTTTTTTTTTTTTTTTTTTTTTTTTTTTTTTTGTATTTTTTTCTTCACGTCACATTTTAAAGGAATAATGAGATGATACTTTTATAGTAACTATGTTGTTACAATGTTTTCATTGATTTTTACTATAACTCACGCATAATGTAGGAACTAGGGAAGAAAGATTGACGTGTCGAGGAGCAAATAAATGTAATTGCTGAAGACATCCTGTAGCCTCAGCTTGAACAAGAGAATCTTGATGATCTTGCATGATGGCACAGGCGCATAGAAAAGAAGACCGAGCCATACATATCGACGAAGTGTTTCCTTAAAATTATTACATTAACATTAAAACTTGAATGAAATTTTCTTAATTTTAGTAACGCGCAACTGTTAAGCATACCGTTTCATAATTTTCGATAAGGTAGGAGAATTAATATTTAAGTATAAATGGATATTGAAATGATTATGAGAATTACATTTCATCGTCTTACCTTGAAGCTCTGGACCTATTGTAGTAATTAGAGCTGCTAAGACCTTGCCAATACATTGATGGACGTCGATATACGAATGCGGCACATTTAATAAAAGCGTTAATGCTAAAGAAAGAGTTGGTTCAACGTATCCCCGGAACATTGGCCCACCGGAATCTGCTATTAAAGCTAATGCATGAAGTGCCCATACCTATAGTGATAAATTGAATTTTAACGTAACACTAGCATCATTAAATACACGAATGAAATATCATTATGCACTATTTTTCTAAATCTACGTCATTAAAATAACTGATAGCATACTTGTACAACAGGAGAAGTATTGTCTTGGGCTAGTGCGAGTAAAATGCTAACACTGGTATTAAGATGTTGACTAGAACCCATTCCGCCAACATATTTGTGAAGACATCCTAATGCTAATGAATGTCCGGTTCTACTGACGACGTCGCGAGCTGATTTTAAACGATCAAAACTCGTTTGCGCCATTTCTGCAGTGAATTTGGCATCGGAAATTACTTGTGCCATACGACCAACAGCTTCACCAGCAGCCCAACGTAATATAGCATTACTACTTATTAACGAGCTCTGTAATTAAACATATAAAGCTTATACATAAGCATTTATTTATAAATTAATATATTAGTTTTAAATTTCTATGAGTATTCAGTTTTTACTAAATAATAGATAATTATCAATATTATTTTAACCTAATTACATCAAACTACCGAAATTGATAAATGCACAAATTAGATATTATGTTTTTGTTATTTATGAATAAAACCAGTATTAAAATATTAAAATATTTTATATTTATTATATAAAATAATATATTATATTATTTATAACGTTAGTTGGTGTAAAATATTTATTATTAAATATCAAAAAAAAAAAAAAAAAAAAAAAAAAAAAAAAAAAAAAAAAAAAAAATTCTTATATTGTAAACAATCAACAACATTTAACAGAAATTATTTAATATAAATTCGCCCATTTAACGTGACTAATGATATTTTATTATGAATTTGGGAGTATTTTTTTTTTTTTTTTTTAACAAATGATGCTCGATATTCTTTAAGTTGTAAAAACTTACAATTATAAGACTGGTGGCAGACTTTTTAACATCTTCCTGACCAAAAGCAGTTTTCGCTTCATTAAGGCCTTTAAAACCACTCAGAACAGCTGTAAAAACATTCATTTGTATAGCTTCCTGTCTTGCTGACTTGGCATGTCTTATACATTCGCTGAAGTGATCTAGCATCTGAAGACGATGTTTATTTGCTACACGCGGAAAGATTTGACCAAATAAGGAAACTGACATATCGATAACAGCGACGCCAAGGGGTAATGGACCAGGTAATGATTCATCCTAAAAAAAAAAAAAAAAAAAAAAAAAAAAAAAAAAAAAAAAAAAAAAAAAAAAAACATATATTTCATCTAATATTACAAATAACAACTATAAATTTCAGTAAAACTATTAATACTTGTATTAGTAATGTGTAATTCAATATATTTAAATATAAAATTAAGTATTTAGCAAGTGCATTAAAATAGGAATTCAAAGATGTATTTTTTCTTTTATTATTAAATTATTTAAGAAATCTCGTCTTAGATTTATATATTTGACACAGTAATATCGTGATGCATTTATTCAATTAAAAAATATTTAATTAAAAGATTGTAAAATAACATGTTAATGCTTAAGAAGATAATTCCAAATTAATAAAACTTTTTCTATGGAATTGGATTTTCAAGGTTAAAGCCAAGAAATAATTCACACTACGTGCACGACTTTGCGCTTCAGGTATATAATAAATGAAAAAATCTCTTATAACTATGCAATAAAAAAAAAAAAAAAAAAAAAAAAAAAAAAAAAAAAAAAAAAAATGTAAATATTTCAATTATTTAGTAATTTAAATTACCAATGGTATAGGTCGATAGAGACAACAGGAATTATGCTCTAAAGCTCCAGATCCTGCAGCGCTATTTGGCTGCAACTAGAAAAATAATTAAAATTATAACGGGAGTAATAAATATTTTAAATGAATGTAAATTATAAAATAATGAGTATTGTGATTATACATTTTTTAATATACAATATTAAAGATATTCATACATATTTGAATATTTGAAAATTAATAAATGTTTTTTTTAGAAAATACATAGATTCTGTATTCTATGAAGATACATTCTTCTGAAAAATGCATTCTTTTCTTCTAATCTAATGTGAACTAATCTACGAGATATTAAAAAAACACCAATAGAAAAAGAAGTCTAAGTCAATAATCTAATTAAGTACTTTTAATTTTCAAAATAAGCAATTTATTATTTACTCTACTAAAGACTTTAGAATCCAAATACTAATCCATATCATAGTCTTAAATACAGCCATTAGCCTATTTAAAAAACAAAAAAAAAAAAAAATATTGATGTCTTGAACGAAATATTGAAATACAGATTTGTATGAAAAACGTAGTTTACTAAAGATGCTGAAAGTTGACATTCAATATTTAATATTAATAAGATTAATCGCATCCATAATTTAAGTGTGAATATAATTTGAATATTTATATTAATAAATTATATTTTACTAAAATATAAAAGGAAACAAGCAATTTTGTTTAAATAATAAGGCGATTAATATTTACTGTAAAATAGTTAAAAATGAAATATATATATATATATATATATTACAGTTATCTGCATTAATAAATAAATAAAATAAGTACTAATAATTTTTATAAAACTATACTTTCAACACTGAAGTTTCTGTTGCAAACCACATTACTCACATGTTCCACATCTGCTCTTCTGTTCGGTTCCATCTAAATACGAATGAAAAATTTTAAATTCAAATAAATGGGCTAAAACGATACTCTAATCATGTTTATGCTTTTAATGGCATATAATATAATTTTTCAACGTAAATTTAAGCTTTTTATTAACAACGAATTACCTGATCCTCTATTGTCCGATGATCAGTTTCTTGTAACCATGTTCCAAGTATAACTGAATCGTTGGCATGGCACACTGTCCGAAGTAATGAAGTAGTTGTATTTCCTGGATTGTCCGCTAATGTGAATTCCGATACTAACATTCTAAGCAGATGAGTGTAAGAACCTGCAAATATTATAAGTAAATAATATAAATACAAATGTCACGATAGATTATATTAAAGAAAATGAAAAAAAAAAAAAAAAAAAAAAAAAAAAAAAAAAAAACAGAAAAAAAAACCCAGATAAAAAAAAAAAGGTGCGTCTGATTCATAAATTTTATTGTAAAATTGTTGGTGAAGATGAAATATCTTTATAAAATACCTACCTTCAAATGTTTGAGGAGGTAATAATAATAATGTTTCGTACAAACGAAGACGAACCATTGCAGCTGGAGCCTTTAACTGTTGTCCATAACATTTTAAAACAGTTGACAAGCTTAAATAAAATTTAAAATTAATCGATAAAATATGAATAAGAAACAATGTGACGTGTAATTCGAACATTCTATTGCATTCTGTCCTTTAATTGGATTATTATTTTGACAATTTTTAATCGATTCAATTTTTTCTCAAAAATAACGCGAATAAGGTGCTTTTTTTTTATTATATGCTTTAAAGATTTGGACGACTACTTACTTCGTTAACATTGTCAAAGCAGATTCAATTGGCGTCAGAAGTCGTCTTGTAATATCCTCGCTCATTAATTCAGGACAGTGTAACAGGAAGCTGTGCATCGCTGAAAGTGCTCCGGCTCTGCCCTCCAAAGTTACTTGCCATGTAAATGCATCACCGCGTGCCTTTTCACTTTCCAATTCCTTATTGGAGCGAGGAAACGAATTCCTCCACAGTAGCAGCATCCTGGGCAAGAGTCCTTTCACAACAGCGGTACCTGAAATATTTCAATTGATTTTAAAATAAATAATTTTCTTAATCGTATAGAATCGATAATGTTTTAATTATAGATCGTATACCTAAGGTCATTATAGCTCCTATGAGAAGCCAACCCGCATGAGTTCTATTTAGCGATAGACGGCTATTTTGACTTGCACTTCGTAATAACTCTTCAGCAGTATTAAATATAATCTACAAGTTTTTATTATTAGTAAAATGAAAATAATTTTATTTATGAAAAGTGCATAAAAAAATTCTAAGCAAAATGCGATTAAACTAACCACACGGAGTAACATGTGTTTATTTATAATTATATTAGTCATCGATGAACTTATGCATGCTTATCGATTAATTTCTCTATAAGTTTTTAATTAATATAGACGTATGGATCAATTAGAATAACAATTAAGCAATAATATTAATTGCAATGTACTATTACATAGATTTAACGAAGACCATACATTCTGTTAGCGTGATTAGATGATTGTTATGCTTTGATAAACACAAAGTTGTATATAAAAATATATAAAAATGTAAGCTAACTTTTCCTTTGGTGTGTGGAACTCCAAGAGGCGATAATCGTACACTTCCTAAAACTGCAGCTAACGCGCTACTGTATCCTGTTATTGCTTCAGGTGACGTTCTCATGCTTTCAATGCTTTCGACACACCTGTCGATCAATGGTGTTATCTGACTTGGTACCGCCACACAGATGCATCTCAAACACCAAGCTGCTGCGAGTCTAGCGGCTTGACAGGGATGGACCAGAACAGCCATTGTAGTTTCGACTAAATCTAAATAATTATATTAATTTTATTAAAGAATATGAAAGGATTCAAGGATAAAGGATTAAGTCGTCTGTACAATACCAATAGCTAATAAATACTTAAAAATAATGAACACCCGAGACTTTTCATTCCAAACTGATATTAAATTATGTAAATGCAACACTCACTTAAGGAATGATCGTTCAAGAGATTCGAGGCTGTTGTTCCCAAACCAAGAATCAAATTGCCCATTTCCTGCAATGCGCAGACAAGCAAGTGCTGACTAAATAATGTCTCTTGATTACAATCCTTTGCATTTTCTGGACTAAAATCTGTTAATATAAGCAACAAAATTATACGTACAAAGTAATTTATATAAAACGATAATTCGAATAGCTTTATTTGACAAACAAGACTTACCAATGGAATTCATTTGCTTTAAAATAACGTGAGCAATTTCCTTGCATGCCGCAGCCTGAGCTCCTTCTCCAAGAAGCTTGCCAATGGTTCCCCTTAACATAAAATTTATGCATTTCCTTGAATAGACCGCGTCAACGTGAGAGCTCGCGGCCTTTGGATTAGCGACGAGGTCCAACACATGAGCGACTAAGGTGGCGATATTGCGCTCGAGCCATGTACTACCTAGCATTTGTACGAATACTACGTAGGCCTGAAAATAATTCTTTTATTTAATAATTCATTGTCTCGTATCGTGGAATCCATTGGAATAGTTGAGGAACAAATTTATTTCGAGGAAACCAACGCGATATAGGCTTGTTTCGCACAACAAGCACGCAAATATAAAATAACCCAATATATGCATGAACACTGCACGAAGCTAATTATTATTAATTTAGAATTTTTTAATTGCTTATTGAATTTGAAAAAATAGGAAAATAAAGTATGTGCTATTTATAATATATACTTACATGAGTAACTCCAACGCGCACTTCCCTATTAACTCCCGAGCTGCCTTTTATTATTTCCCCCGTCCCTTTCAAGAATCCTACGCCACCTCTTAGAAAGCCAGACATTAAAATATTCAGAACTTCTTCCAATGATATATATTTGAAATTTTTACTTTGATTAGCTAAAATTATAAAACGGTTAAACATTAGTATGGGCTCGACGATATCTTTTTCCCCAATTAATATGAAAATAATACATATGTAGTTGTATATTAAAATTAAAAGTAACTTTTTAATTGATACTTTTGTTTTCACACTTACATGGTGGATTTTGACCTTTTGGTGCTGACAGTTGTGTCTTTGCTACAAGCATCCCTAATAATTTTGCAACCGAACATCGTACTTCGTAATTCGATCCCTCAAATGCCCGAAAACATAATGTTGCTACACTTTCAATTTCTGTTGTATACAAGAAGGGCGCATGATGTAACATTTCCAGAAGACACTGAAATTTCAACGAGTAATTTCATTAAAACACTGACAATCTTATCGAAACTGTATTATAAAAAACATTGATTTCATATATCTTAATTATATCTTAATAATCTGTATTAAAAGCACGTTTGTGCTTAAGCTACAATCTGTCAATAATAGAATGAAATACTTATAATTTATGGTTAATTCTTTAAATTTAAACGTTAATATTATATTTACTTTAGCAGCAGCGCATCTGACAGCCATTACTCTATCGGTTAAACAATGTCTGCAAACTTTATAGATTTCTTTATGAACATTAATAACAGCCGATCCCATACCCGCACAAACCTAGAAGCCAAACAAAGCGAACATTAATATAAATTTTTCACTATATCGATCAATATCATCACGTTACCTTTAAAGAAAAAAAAAAAAATAAATAAAATAAACAAACAACCAATGGTTTTATTTACTTTTTCCAGGGTGTGCATAATTTCAATACGAGTTTGCGATTCAGCTGAACGTAGAGATTTAATTAAAATTTGCACTGTTTCTTCGTACGAACGACCCATCATTCTTCCCAGTTTCTCATACATACAACCAACGCAGCATATAGCAGCCCTAAAAGTATATCGAATTAAAATTCCTATGCAATTGATGTAGCTATGGATAAGTTTTGTTGTGTAAATTAAAATTCGATTGGAATAATTTGATTGGATACATATTATGGAAGCTTAAAGCACGAATTATGGTTATTTATTTTTTTTTAATTTAAATGCCCTGTAAATGATAAACTTGTAAAATTTATTATTTGAAATTGTTAAATATATTTGAATTGATTCATAATATTATTGATTATTTGAAAGTACTAAAATACATAAATAAATAATTAATACTAACAGTTTAGTTGGAAGGAAGCTTGGTGAGTCGTCTTTATTCTTCAAAATATCATTGCACTTATTGACTGTATCGAAGAGTAAAAATGTATCGCCAACACTGAATAGCGTAGCAAGACATCGAGCTATTAAACGTCGAGTGGGTGGTCCTGGAGCACCTTGCATATGCTTGGTCAGTTGTTCGACTAATTTTTGCTGACATCCTTTAATATCGTTCTGTATGACCGATTAAAGGTACAAAAAATGCAAAATATATTAACGATAATGTAAACGTCTATTATAATATAATTTGTTTACTAATACTAATTATTATTAAAATAAATCAATATATAAAAGACTTAGGAATCTCTACATTTTTACATATGACTCGAATAAAAATTTAAATGACTTTTGCTCTTTGCGTTCGTAAGTTTATAATAAATAGCCTTAGTCGTTGAGTTATATATTAACACAAATTTACTTTCTAACTATATATTGTATATAAATATTTCAGAATGCCGACCTTCTGAGCAGCAATTAAAACTTTGTCTAAGAATCTCAGCCATTCAAAAACAAAAACTGGACGTTTTGCTTCAGGAATTTGATTAAGTGCATCCTCGTTGAGGGTTAAGCTATGGCTCAACTCCATCATTGTTAAAATCTCTTTCACTATGGATATTATCTAAAAATTAAAATTTAAATATATAAATTCGCATAATATATGAAACATATCAATAACGATAGAGCAAATGTGCATGCAAATAAAGTACAATTAAAATAATGTTTAAAATACAAAGAATATTCAATAACTGAAATGCCTGGATTACTACCTTTAAGTCTATAAGTATTCAACAATCATGAGTATTTTCACTAACGAGATTATTTAATCGATAATATTTGTACAACGCGCTTAAGTATTATTAAAAATATTCATAACCAATACTTGTAATGCTCATAATAAGATACGGTTTCCTTAATAATTTCCTTTTGTAAATTAAACAATTTAGTCACATACGGTATATTAAGGCCTAATCGTGAAAATTCATTTGTCATCGATTAACCATTAAATAAATGGATATTGAAATTGATGAAATGTATTTATCCTAAGATTTTGGTATATTAAACATTAACATAACATACGTCTATTTGTTTGAAAATAAATATCGATTCTTAAGCTTAAGATCACACCAATGCTACAAATGAACTATATAAAACAATAGGAAACAAAACAACCAAGCGAATGAAACGAGACTTTTATCGTTATATTAACTTGAAAGTTACTTTTGGTTTATAAATCTGTTGACCAACGATGCCGTTAACACACTTATGTGTAATAAAAATTGACCAGCCTAATTAAAATTTTGTAGTATGACATAAGTATGACTTATGTATATTAACACTTTATATATCAGACACATCAACATTGAATAATAAAAATTTGTAAAATCACTGTAATGAAACATTGTTAACAATTAACACGAATAAGAATGGTGTTTAATGTTGCTGGAGAAAGGTCGGGATACCAAGAGTTTATATCACTATTAAGCTTGGAATTATTTAGAATAATTTTCCATTTGAAACGATCGCTAATTACAATCACTGATTTCACGACAACATTATTAATAGATGACAGTAGTCTCGGAAAAGTATGACCCAATTGTTCGTTATATTATAAATAAACCAAAAGAAATTATGGAATATCTATTTTTACGAACCTGCTTTCAAGACGAATGATTAATGCGGCATCACCGACTTTGTTATTAAATATTATTGGCTTTCTGTTTTTTCATTATAATGTCAAATGTGTATCTTCCGTTCGATTAAAGGCTTGCACGCACGTACGCACGCACGCACACACGCACGCACGCACGCTCGCTCGCACGCACACTAGGGAACGATTTTTGGAAACGACGAAGGAAAAAAAAAAGAAATTATCATATAAATTAACACTGCTGCTCAATATATCATGGAGTATCGAGATCGGACGCTCATCATTATGGAAACTCATACACTCATACTTATTATATATTCTTGATTTTTTTGTTATCGGTTGTTATCGTGTCTTGTTTCTTTTCTCACTCTCTCTCTCTCTCTCTCTCTCTTGCTCTCTCTCTCTCTTTATTTATTTATTTATTTATTTATTTATTTATTTATTTATTTTATTTTTTTTTTTTGTCAAAGTCGGGCGGAAGATGTGTACATTACGCACGAGATACGATTAGCAAATTAAAGCCAACGGGGGACTCTTTAAGGGTAGGATATTTATTTATTGTTACCGTTTATGGGAATGATAAACGAAGGGGACCAATTAATATTGTGGAATTACGTGGCTTAGGTTAGAGGATAATGGCCATGAGATGATTATTCGCTCGGAAATCCGTCGAAATGTGTCACTGCGTATATTAATAGTTGTCGGAGCGATAGTACCCGCGAGTCTAAATTACAGGACTCCCCGTTGTTGAGTGGCTACTGCTCACTGAACAGCCTACACTAGATTCAAGATTTTTTCCCTTTCTTATCCTTTTATCCTTATTCTTTGTTTTGTTTTGTTTTTGTCTCTCTCTCTCTCTCTCTCTCTCTCTCTCTCTCTCTCTCTCTCTCTACTTTGCGGATAAAGCGGAAAATGGAGAATAGGAAGGAAGATGTCTCGTCTTACTGCATTGTGCATACTATGGGGCCGCATAGCTCCGATTAGCGACCGAGTAACTACTCTCGGCGTTCGGCTAATTGTGCTTTTATTTACTGGATAAACTCATGCCAGATGGAGCAACGTGTGCCAGTTGTCCCTTTGGCGGAGTTTCTGCCTCTTCGCGCCGTTATCACTTTGTGGAAGATTGCGCCCTTCCTGCTTCATTCGGCCCTCGCGCTCTCACAAGCGCCATTTTCAAAAAGTCTAAGCGCGATCGCATTGAGCGACAATGATCGAGGAAAGTTGTGCCAGCGCCAGGAGAGCCGTCGTTTAAAAATTTCACCACTCGAAGCGTCGAAGCATTCATTTCCTATTCAATTACAGGATTAGATTTAATGGTCAAGGTACTTTTCAACCACCAGATCTCATAGCAGGAAGTAACGTTGATTTAAGATTATTAAAGACTAATGTGACACGCACATCGCGTAATCCTCCAAGCGTTTCAACCAATTCAACCACTACTGTATTGCCTACTCTTTCTTTCTTTTTAGCTGTACATTGTGCGCCTGAAAAAAAAGAAAAAAGAAAAAAAGATTGACTACGATGCTAATTATTCAACAGCTTACTCGAACGATTGATTATTCTTATTATTCTTATTTATCCGCTAAACTTGTAAATTGGATAAAAAAATTGAATAAAAAAAAAGTCGCGTCTAAGATTGCCAAAGCTCAACGATACTTTCTAAACGGATTCGCCACTCGTTTGCTTTATTCAAATTGCATTTTTTCCCAATCCACAATACCTATATTTGTATAAGGAATTTTTCATTTAGTAGGAAATACATTGAAAAATTCTTCTACCAATCGATTAAGGGATTTCGATAGTACAGATATGAAAAATAGCAGGAAAAATATCTGTTCTTCGACTACGATATAATACTTAATAATTAATCGTTTTTCTTAAAGAAAAATAAAACAAAAACAAAAACAAAAACAAAAACAAAAACAAAAACAAAAACAAAAACAAAAAAACAAACAAAAAACGAAAGAAAAAAGTAAGAAAAACTTAAAGGAACAAAACAAACATATTTTTGCGTAATAAATATTATTACTTACAGTGTGCGTTCATCCCTATAGATCAAGTGACGCATGTGCAAATCCCAAGCGATGCATTGACAAATTATATAATAATTTCGTTATAATTACATATACAATAATTACATTTATAATTAATAATTGTAAATGTACGTATAAATAAATAGATGAGTTTTAATCTCGTTAGCGAGTCGAATAATTAGCTATCAATTGCTGTTGAAATGTCGTTTGGACCGAAGAGATTGGCACACCATTGGTAAAACAAAATCAATGGCAATAATTTGTTTTTGTTTTTTTTTTTTTTTCGTTTTTGTTTTTTGTTCGCTTAAATGTTTCGAGGATGCGCTCGTCGCCGCGAATCATTGAGGTTCGATAAAATGATTGTTTATTTGTGTTATTATGCGTGTGCGCGCGTAAGACGCAGTGCGGCAATACCGGAGAAGGAAAGTGTAGTTCCCAGCAAAGATCAATCAATTAAATTAAATGATCTATCGATTACGATAAATTAGTTAATTGGTCGAGCGTTGTTGGTGTTTGTGGATACGGTAATTGAACAATCGATATAATAGAATATAATCGGTTGGAGAAGCATGAATTGCGAAGTCGTGGCGAAAGAGGCAGTAGTCGATAGTAAGAGATAGTAAGAGAGCGGGTCAAGAGAGAGGGGTCAAAATAATTATGGCGATAGGTATGGGATTGATGGATGGGGAGGCGGTAATCGGTCAATCAGGATTATTTAAGGCGGGAGATAAGTAGAGCGCACGGGTAACGGGCGAGGGATGTTGGTGTTTGCGACCGAGGGTGATTTGTGATAGAATGGCCGGCGGACTGGCAGGGCTAAACTGGATCGGCTGGTCGCGTGAGTCGTAGAGAGGGTCGGAGGTTTGAGTGAGATATAGTCGAGCGCTACTTTAGGAGTGGGTGTGTGAGCGCGCGCGCGCGCGCGGTTTTATCAGAGCCATATGGACAGTACGTACGCTGTTGAACGTATGAGGTTATTGCATCGCGGTGCCTCAACCCTCATTGCGCTCATACGTCTTTGATATAATTTGATGTTATTACCTCTTCGGCGTCCATTGGCTGGCCATCCATATCAGCAAAATATTTTAATAAACGCTCAACGGAGAGGTGGATGAGCAAGACGATAGTTTAATTAATTTGAACAATAGTTGAAATAATAATCATAAAAGATCACGTTATCATACTATTCATAATATTTCATGCTATATGATCCAAATTGTTCTCTTGCAAATTACTTTACGCCAGATTCCATTGGGCTAATATGATTAAGTTCTGTTCGATCACACTTGTTTCAATCCCCCGTCATCCAATGTCAAATGCCTTAACGATTCAATGCTTAAGAATGTCAAAGAGCAACTAAAATATTGAAAAATATTTACAATATATTATTAAAATGTCTTTATTTCACTTATTTTCTATCCAGTTGGTGACCGAACCATACGCTCGCAGAGTCGCCGTCAAATGTGACATGTTCTTACATGATTACAGCAATAGCAAAATTATAATTGTCTGTTCCAGCAAACATTGAAGCTATTTAAGGAGATAAAAGGGGAAAAGCGCATTGCGACACGAAATATTCATCACGGCAAATGAAAATTTGTAAGACTACGTAGTCGTGATAAGAGCAAAGGTCCACCTATCTACAACCATAATAATTTTAACCAAAATTTGACATCATTCGCAGATCAATAATCAGATTATTGTTAAGAGACAACAATTGCTAAGAGCTCAGTTTAATTTATTTTCTATCATCGATCATATAAATAATTGGGACACATGAAATTTATAACGAATAAGGTTAGATTTTCTTTTCTTATCTTCATTATATTGCCGATAATTAATAATATTTATAAAACTTATTAATTTTTATTGTTTCGAGTACAGTAATAGAATGTTTTCGATGAAAGCTGCTTGAAAGTAAATAGATAAATAATTGGTTATAGTTAATTATTAATTATATAATAATTATATAAAATGTGGTTTATAATAAAATTGTAGGCCATGTAAAGACAATGTTACTGATCAAATGAGTTACTTTGATGAAATACAATTGCCGAATTTTCCAATATTCCAAGGTGATATAACGATAATGAAAATTGATCATATAAAATATTATTCGACAGATTTTGCAATTATCCATAAAAATTTTAATTTTCATTCCATAAAATTATTATAAATCATACGCCTATCAATTAAGAATAATAGATATAAAAAGTTAATTTTCAATACCATAAATTAGCGTTGAATATTAAAAAATAAGCGTACAAAATTATATAAAGCAATAAGTTTTCAATGAAGTTTATTAATTCAAATAAGAACTGGGAAGTACATTCTATAATATTAACATTTGTTTAATTTAAGCCCTTTGTAATAATATCGTATTTGTTTTTATAATTTATGACAATGGAAGCAATGTCCTAATCCAAACTTTTCAGGGCCATTTTCCTTAAACAAGTACGAAAGAATAAATACAAGTACCCTACCTACTTTTGAATACACATTCTAGGGATCAAAATTCATTCGAAGCATAAAGAAATAGAAAATTTTCAAGCTTTTTTAATTTTCAAAATAATTGCATTTAAAAACATATGGGATAAATATTGCTTTTAGAATCAATCAAATAAGCATGAAAACTTTATATGATAGAATATCAGTTTATTGAAATGTTTTAATAGCCAATAACGTGTTTGTGTGCGCGCGCGCGCGCGTGTGAATCCGTAAGTAACACGGGATTCGTTACTTCATATATGTAACGTATTTGTATGTAACTAAATGAATGGGAAAACTTTTTATAAAAATTTCTTATTAATTTTGGCTATCTATCACAACGAATCTATATATCTGTATTATATCTAACACATATTCCATTAAGCATGTAAGATTTGTAAGTAAAAAAATTACATGACAATGGGACACATAAATTTTGATTAATAAAACTAAATTTATAAAATTCTCGTATGATTGTATTAAATTTGATATGCGATATTAATTAAATATATGTGATGTGCATTGTATTCCAATTCCAATAACAATAAAATAATATTTTTATAGTCAATTGTGAGTCGCGTGAATATTCTTCTAATTGAAACAATATTAGTGCGCGCGC